AGAGGAGCTATACAAAGGCAGGGAGAGAAACCAGGAAAAGGAGGAAAGGACAAAAGTTGTAGAAGTTGCTAAAAGAAAGCAGATCCCTCTTCGCCCCATTGTATGCAGGATACAGTACTCAGGGACGGAATCCATAAATACAGATAATTAAAAAGTTACCCTACAGGTCAGACTCTCCAGTCTCCCTCTGACACCCACAGGAAATGCAATATAGATTGAAAAGTCTATGCGCTCATATCTTTTTTCCCCTTTCTGGCTCAGGAACTGTAATTAAAGGGAAAATCAGCCTCTCTCCTGCCTTAGAGAGTATAGTGGCACAGCTGGTTTTCATCTTGGCTAGCAGGCTCTGTCCTCAGGCTACTAAGTGCTGAGTAATTTTTACCAAGCTCTGCTTGCAGATAAATGATGTTCTTCTCTTAGCTGCTGCCAGGCAAAGCTACAAATACTTGATCTTTTATTCTTTTCTCATAAACTCCTAACATTGAATACTAAAAATGCAGCCAGAGATTTTTCCACTGCCATTTATTCTCAGCATGGTCACAACTGTATTACAATTACAGACACCCACCCGTTTGCTGAAGCTCAACTGTAGTTCCTCGTTAACCTGAAGTTTCCAATTAAAGGCTCCTTCAGTTTCATTGATAGTTTGCATATACTCCAAGGACCCACTTCATTTTTTTTTTCCCCTCAAACACATTCCAAGAGAAGGGCAACTGCTTTAAATAACTTCACACTAATTTTCTGGAAAAGCCTGATGAGCGAGTGCCAGCCTCAAAAGAAAAGCCTGTGTCTGAATATGCAGTTTGGGTAATTTCTCTCACAGCTATAACTATAAAAATATCTGAAAGCTTTTGACTAAATGTGGCACAACTGCTGGGCAGATAAATTGTGGGCTCAAACCAATGGAAAGAATCTAGAAAGGTACGACACTGGAAACCCATTAGTTTAATTCAAGTTTTCTGCAGTGTTTCTAGTAAGATCTTAGATTTTCTAAGAAACTGCATAAGAATTAGTTAAAAATTGTATAGAAAATGATTTAAAAAAATACTAATCTTGGCAATGCTGTTCTTCCACCTACCTCCAGTAAGCGAAGCCGTGAACATGAAGCCAGCACAGGGAGGAGGCTGAAAACGGGTAAGAAATACCATGGCTAATTTTAGAATCGTTTCCAGTCATGCAGTATGAAACGTAGTGAGTAACAGTACATATAAAAGTACCTGCACACTTTTAAAAGATAAAACAATGTTTCAAATCAATCTTGATTTCAAAGATATTTTTAAAGTGCAAGACTAATAGTCTATCAACTTCCTAAGCAACGCCATGCCTCTGAAGATCACCTTCCTAGCTCATACACCAATCTCACGGTATTACTGGCTACTGTTTTAGTAGTATCAGCCCCTGATGCAAGTCTATTTTCTGTTCAAGACAGAAATGAGGGGGAAGAGAGGAACAATTGTGCAAATCAATAGCCATTTAAAAAAACCCAATGAGGTGGAGGTAGCTTTTCTTTTAAAAAGAGAAAATTTGAACTGCTGTCTTGATGGCTGTGGCAGAGGGCATTTCCGAAGCTTTCTTGTGTCTGTTATGGGTGGGGGTACACAACTTAAGAACAGCTTTAGCCTAAACTCTATTTGCACAGAGCATGTTTCAAAACATGGCTTAATGCAATCACCACATTGCGAGTCCAATGCGAAGGTGTCTTGGTCTGTCTCTGCTGCTCAGTTAATGACCTGTGCTTAGATCCAACTTAAACCCTGTGAACATGCAGGACAGGATGCATTTGCATTTTAGGATGGAGAAGTTGGGGGAAAAGGCTCTGCATCTGGATTCTGAACCAAGTTACAGTGTTGGGTTTTTTTCTCTTGCTAGTCCTCAGGACGTGGCTGTCTTCTTGCAGCCCACAGAACTCTATTTAAACACTATGGTAAAGGTATTCTTTTGTAATGTAGTTTCTAATTTTTTTTTTTTCAAGCATTTAAACTAGATTGTAAATGTTTGAAGCTCCAGGGGAGTGAATCTGTGCCATCTTTCCATTATTAAAGTCTTCAGACCCAGGACTGGACTTTGGTAACTATGTGTCAAGGCGGTGCCAGGAGATGCTGGGGCTTAACAGTGTTCCTGTTACTTAAGCGTGAGAGGGAAACAGTCCATGTTAAACACACTTCACACAAAGCATTCTTCTTAAATGCCTTGTAAAACAAACGAAACGCTGGTTAGAAACACATTCACCACTGCTGACCACACAGGTTTTTATATTTAATAGAAATTAAATTAGTAGCTTAATATACATAATGTGACACTTTCCAGTCCAGTAGCTTTCCAATTCTTGCTTTCAATTCACAGAACAAATACTGTACAAAAATGGTAACAAAGAGCAACTGAAGAGTAAACACTGTCACTAAAACACTGGACCCAGAAAGGCTAGGTTTATCGGGAGCTACACATGCCAAAGGATACATAATGATGGACCCATCGTGGTACAATCATGCATTACCAACGGATAGATATACTGCTGGCCCTGCACACACGGGTTCCTCCAGGGCAGGTAGCAGCATCCTGGACTGCAGAGCGGGCTGTTTTATCGTGCTCCGTAGCTGTAGTAGTAAGGTTCGTCCGGGCGGTATCCATAAGCAGTCGCTGGGCGGCCGGGAACCCCTGGTGATTGACCAAATCCATCAACTCCAATGCTGCAAAAAAAAGAGGAGAGAGAGACTGTAGGTTTTTGTATGGTAGGGAAGGCGCACTAGTGCTGGTGTCTCCAACTCTTCCTGCCACGGAGATAATTTCGTGAGGCAACTTTGCAAGCCATCTTCTCCTTCTAGCCAGCACTGTTCTGTCTCTTCTTCCCTTGGTGGGAAAAGAAATGCTGCAGAGAAATCAACGCAACTCCTGTCAAGGAAAGGCTTTCAAGTCAAATAGAAATCCCAGAAGAGACAGAAGACATTTCTTCTATCCTTTTATGGATTTACTAGTAAAGGACTTTACTTCTGTGCCTCAATTTCTCTATCTGTACATGAAAGTTAACATGTCTTTCAGGAAAGGCTTCAAGCATGCTTCTTGCAAAGCCCACTGGTAACCCTGCCCTACACAGCACATCTGAATGATCTAATTTCCTTCCTTCAGTACATTTCTGAAGCCCCTGGGAAAATACCAGCTAGAAATGAGAAAGTGAGAATATCTGGCACAGCAACATAGTTCAGCAAAGAACAGTGTTTCTGGTGAGATACAAGATTGACAGCCAAATGGCAGAAAGAATTAATCATATACTGAAAAGCTATATACTAATGAGACAGAATAATTCATTTTTCATATAGAACAGCATCTTTTACACCTAAAAAGTCCCACAGCAATGAATTAGATACTAAAGCACAAGAACTGCGTAGGGAAAAGTGGCACATATTTCATGCTCAACAATAACTCTCATGCAGGAGGTAGAGGAAAAATGAACATTGCCTAAGATACTGGATTACTGCCTATTCATAGTTATGTCACTTTTTAACTTCCACTTCAGTAGAAGGACAAATGGAAAAGGATTCTGATTTATTGTCTGACTAAAGATGCATTGAAAGGAGTTGAACTTCCCCTCTGAAGACTGTCAAAACACAAAGAACCAAAGTGCTTTTGGAGTGGGGAAAAGCTGAACCTCATTACTGCCAATTATACATATGGAACATAGGTTATGCAACAGTCAAGGCTGGGAAAGAATGACCCATCCAGAAGATGTACAATGGGTGGGCCCCAGGCCCTGGCTCAGCAAAAAGCTGGCACTGCTGAATCGGTTGGACTGAAAGGGCTCAGCTGAAGTGGTGGGGGACGATGCCCATCACTCTGTCCCTGCAAAGATACTTTCCTTGGATTGTGCCTCCGTGAGGTCCTAGAAACAGATCCTTGGTAGCTGGTTTCTCAGGAAGCTAGTTCACTCATGGGGTATTCTGATAATCATGTGAAGGTGGAAGGTCTGAGGCTGATTTTTGTCCTCTGAGAGTAAGAGGACACAGTCAGCAAGCCAAACTGCAGAGAAAATAATGCTGTTTCACCTGAATGTATCTTGAGAAACGCAGCACCCTGAAAGTGCTTTGCTGTTTCCACGTCTGCCTGTCCGTATTTGAACTGGCAGTGCCCCTGTCTCATGACTCGTACCCAAAGCCATCAGTCCAACCTTAAAGGCTGATCAGTCCCTTCAGCACGGCAAAGAGAAGCAGAGTAGCCGTGGTATACCCTGTAGCATTGCAAAGCTATGTGAACACATGCCTCTAGCTCCACACCTTCCTCCGGGCACCCATTCCTTCCTGGATCCACTCCAAAGTCCTATTACTCTTTTCCAAGCCCATTATGAAATGAGCTGGTGACCTCTGAGGCACCTTCTCCAGGTCCCTCCTTTCTACCTGGCAAACAACAGCTTTCTCATTAGCAGGCTTGAAGCTTTAAAAGACTCCTGGAAGAAGGGATTAAGAGAAATCCTGTTACTTTGTCTGTATCTAACTCATCTCCAGAAACACCAAACCCCGCACTCACCTTAGTCAGCAGACAGTCCCTGCTTCTACCACTGTTACTGATTTGTAATATGCAAAGGGATTAGACAGACAGACCTCACATGGGCTGCCGTTAGGTATAGCTTTCTGAATGCAGGCCAAAAAGATCTTCCGAACAAGCCGAACAAGCCAACAGGGACCTAGCATGAAGCTGACCAATTTGTTTAGCAGTTCAGAAAACAAACAAGTTGAATAACTACTGTAAAACAATGCTGATTCTTTGAGAGAGTTCTTTCAGTACTGTTAGTATTAGGAGTTAGTAACATACTAAAAGAAGGCATAGTGGGATTTGGAAGTGCAGAGTCCAGTTTTGTTGTGCTGTTAAGTTCCCAGTTATACCACACATGTGTAACAGTGCAGAGAAGCAGGACCCTTTAAGGCTACCTTTAAACTCAGGAATTCCATTGTTTTCTTCTGAAGCTCCTTAAAGCATCTATGGTTGATTTATAATGAAAAAAATATTTTCACAGAAAATGCTTTTCCAGGTTTATCTTTCAATGTTTTTTTCTGTGATTATAACAGCATTAGTTGTTGATA